GGGAAATCCCAGGGGTCCCACAACTGGGAGATTGGGCCCAAGGGATGGTGCTGATCCCTGGGAGGCGGAGGAGAGGTCAGAGGTACTTGAGGCCACAGGACAGAGTGAATGCGAGATCCCAAAATGCAGCGTGTACTTGGGTGTTAACAGGTTGGGGTAGGTGAGGGCCTGCGGGGCCAAGAGTCTTGTGTGCAGGGGTAACACTGGGTCAGTTGTTTCTTAGTTGGCTGCTGGCCATGCTTGATCCCCGAGCACTGTGGTAGTCCATGCATTTCAACCCCAAGCACCAATACCACTTTCTTGGTTGCCAGCTCCTTTAGCTGATTCCCACCTCAACCTCCAAGATAAGCGTCTGTGCCAATATGTTCTATTGAGTTTCTTTCCAAATGTCAGAAGTATATAGATGAAAGGTGTCTAGTTAATCTTTGCTTTCTCCCATTAAGTTTATAGCCCACTTGTTCAGACAGCCAGATGTTATGCCAGGCCTGCCAAAAAGAAGCAGCAAGGTATGGTAGAGACTGGATTTTTACCATATTTCAAAATGTTTTGTTGTTAATAACATTAACATTGTCACCAATTTGATGGTAGAGGAAGAGGAAAAGGGTTACATCCTAAATATGTTATTAGCCACTTGATCTGGGGGAAAGGGGGAATGTTTGAGTCATTTAAGTCATGCTGCAGAACTCTTAAAAAACCATTTTTAGACAGCAAGCGTGCTGGGTTGATCAGAAATCTTAATTGGGCAGTCATTTTGTAAAAATACAGGGAATGCTTGCTGAAGTCAGTGGGTCAGACCTTAAATCCATAATACTATGGACAGCAAGCAGGACCATATCAATTCCCATCAATTGGTTTCTTGTCCCTCTTCAAGTTCAGTTCTAAACTGCTCTCTTGGTTTTCTCTTCCACAGTTGAGACGTTCCCTTCTTTGCTTTTGAATTTTCTCCCTCTGATCCATTCCCCTCCCAAATTCTCTGCGGTGTGAGACAAGCCCTGATCTGATGTGCCCTTCCTCACATGTTGATCTTTCCTTTCTAGCACTCCTCAGCCATCTGGATGATATTCCTCCTACCATGCTGAAGAAAGATTATGCTAATGTCCCAATAATAGATAAGTATGTGACAGAAGCAAGGGAAGGGGGAATGCTTAATTATCTCAGAGGTTTAATTATTATAGACCTAACCACAGAAAGTGATAGTTGTAGTACTACTAGCACTTACATAACACTGTACAGTCATTCACTTGCTGTCTAGAACAACAGTGGGCAATAATTTTTGCAGGGGGCCACTTAATGAATTTTGCTACATGGTCGTGGGCTGGCTCTCTCTCTCTCCTGACCTCCCCCTGGTGTCTCTTAATACTTTTAAAAGGCAGAGGTGTAGCAGGGGGACCAGCTTCTGCCTGGTCCCAGATGCTATGTTAATACGTTTTCAATGTATTAACAGCTGCCAGATTCTTAATACATTTGAAAAGCAGCAGTGGGAGGGACTGGGAGTGAGCCGGGAATCAGCTGTTTCCCGGTTGACACCCGGTCCCCCACACTGTGCCTCTGCCTCCCCTACCCCCAAGATGGTTCTGGGGGGATCTGACTTTTAAGCCAGCCCCTCAGATCACTGGCTCCTGCTCCCCCCTTGCTGCCTTTCTCTGATAGAGCCAGCGGGGGTGGGGGAAAAGCAACTAGTCAAGTTACTACTACTCGACTGTCCGATAATCATATGCTTATCGGGTAGTTGACTAGTCGCTTACATCCTTAGAGAGAATTGCAGAAGTTTTGAAATAATGGCTCTGGAGTCTGAAATTTGCAGAAGTGACTACTAATTATAAGAACAAGCTGAGAATCCAAAATTAGTAGTCACTTCTGCAATTTGGGCCCAGCCTGCATTTGTGAACCCCTACTGACTTCTACCGGAAGGTGCACAGATCATGGCCTTAAGAGGAATCGTTTTGTCTTTGAATGTTCGCTGAAAGCTAATCTTCAGCACCAGAAGTGCACATCAGGCAGGTTTTGGAAGTATCAGTACTCTGTGGTGAAAGGAAACATTTCAGTCCTACTATCCAATTAAAACAAAATCTACATAGTAACTTTTAGAAATGATTTCTTTTCATGAGCAGAAGAGATGGTTTGATTTGATTATTATTTTACATTGGTAAAAAGCCTACTCTATTTTAAAGCTCTTTAGAAACGCTTACAGAAATGTTAATCTGTTCTGAAAATGTAAATCAACCTTCAGAGTTAAAATAAATACATTACATGTGTTGCTTTGTTTTATAAATCAAATATCTGAAATCTCTACAGGGTTGATGATGTGGTGAAAAGATTATTGTCTCTGGAAATGGCAAGCCAGGTTAGTACCTCTAGTTGTGCAAACGCTGGGAATTTGGTTGGCAATGTCGCTGTAAGATCTGACTATACACTGACATTTATAAATTACTTCTTTGGGTTTGTTAGTTTTGCCAAGTGACTTCGCACCTGGTGGTTAAAGCACCCTGATCGATGGTAATTAGCTGAAAATATACCTAAAATTCACCAAAAAACTGTCATTTTATATGAATAAAAATCTAAAAATAAGTGAGAAAACGCTATGCCATAGGGCTGTTGAGTGACAGGAAATTCTAGAAAATAATTCATGGTCAACATTTAATTTTTAAAACTGATTTTATTGCTATTCTTGAATGCCCCAAAAATGCAGGCATATAAAAGCCAAGAGAAGGCACTCATTCCATGAAGCTGCTTCCTATCTATATTAAAATTGTACAAGAATAGGAAACATGTGGATAATGGAGTCCTCCAAGTGCACTAAAAGAGACCAGGTCCAGTTTCTGCTCCTTCCTTCAGCATGTTAGTGGGAGCTTGGAACACTTTGGTGCAGTCATGGTCCAGCCTACAAACCGTTAAATGTCTGAGTGCTGTTCAGATATTAATACAAGGGAAACACTTAATAATACTACCCTTATGTGGCAGAATAAAAAACTTGTAGTTAGACTTGGAGGAATTTAATTATTTTATAATTTTACAGGTATTACCAATGTTTATTTTTAAGCGTTACTATTTACATTTTCATAGTTGTGGGAACTTATGGGAGGGTACGATAATTATTTAACAACTGTACACATTGAGAGTCAAAAAGATCAAGCTGTTTAACCTTTAAAATACAAATTGTAAACACCACATGTCAAAATATACAAAGTAAGTATTCTTAAGTCAGACCCTTAATAAGAATAATGCTGTATGAAAACTTATCTTGCCTATCTGTAAATTTTGATTGTTATCAATGGAATATTTTTTCATCTGTGTGCGTGTATGTGCAGTGAAATCAACCTTTATCTAATTCCTTTCACACTAAGGCTGATGTTGCTTAATAACAAATTTCTCTTATTAAGGAGAGAAACTGCCAAGATTCTGAAGGGGAGACAGGCCTGGATGAATCTTTGGGCATCTCAGTTAAAGGGCACAAAGGGGTTTGAGTTTCCCCATCTGTGTGTGCCTTAAAAAAAGGGCATTCCTTGACTTTGGGCCTAAAAATGGTCTTTCTAGGGCTTACAGCTGAGAACTTCCTGTGTTGTTTTCTGCCATACTCTGGTGCTATCACAATCTCACACTGAGCATTTTGCTGTCTGAAGGAGCTCATGCATTGAGCAAAACCATTCATGAAATAGTTGGCTTTTCCCCCATGCTTCCTTTGGGCATGTTGGATTGGTGTCAGTGCTTTGACGCATTGGGGTGTCTTGCATCTACAATAATCCCAAGTAAAATAAACAGCTGAAATCCCTGATTTCTGTC